ATTACTGCTTGCCTGTTTAATGATTCATGTTATCAAATATAATTTGAAAGAATTTGCGAAAACCAGTTTCAAGGTGAGTCTTAAAGGAACAGTACTCTTAAATGAATGATAATTTTTTGCAATGAAATTGATGTCCATAACTTGTGGTAGCATATAAAGAACAGTTTGAAGGTAAGATGATGGATTCACAAGAATTGGAGACCCCCTCGTGCGCCAAATAAATTCAATTATTGCCACACATTTTTGTAAATCCCATGAATTGGGTTTTGTATGAATTGATAGAAGGTCAAAGTTTTAAATCGGTTAAAATCTAAACATCATTTTAGGTAAATTATAATGTGCAGTTTTTACAATACTAGCAACCCAAACATTTTGCTAGATTTAATTTTTGCTTATAAAACGAGGAAATCGTTTATTAGTTGTCAGTACTCCATTTTACAGTTCCATTCGAGTGACGACAAATAATAGTTGCAAGTCGAGGCTGCAGTTTCTGCGCATAGCAAAACTATACTTTTTATCATGCGGGGAACTCCAGCCTCGGCTTGGAACGGATCTGTAAGATGGAGTATTTATACATAAGAGAGTCGGCTGAAAAAAAGAAATTGAAAACTTGATCATCTTATAACACCGGAAACGTTTATATTATATTTGAGAGCTTTATTCTTCATACGAATTGACGTTATAATGAATAATGCATTGTTGGACTTTTGGGAATAACAAACATACTTTCTATCTAAAGAATCATTTTATTACCAATTTTAGGACATTTATTTTATTTAAATCTTTTACATTCAACTGCCATTTTTGGCTTTGAAAATGGATTTGCAACGGTTACTTGACATCAAATTACTTTTTGACTTTGTTTTTTTCTATCTGGTATTGATTTATTCTCCTGTTCAGGTTAATATTGTGAGGTATATCATCTGGAGTGATTCCATTTAACCTGTCAAACCCAAGCTTGTCATTAATGTCATGAAACTCTGGCTCAGAAGACCCAGCCTTCTCTTAAGAATGATTGACATTGAATAAATTGAAATGTTAAAGTTGGAAGAAGTTGACATGAATTATTGACCGCTCATGTTTGACAGAAATAATTATCTGTTTAWTGGTTTAAATGGAATCACTCTATTTTTCTTATCAATTGATCCTATGATGATAAGTAATAAAGGCATACCAGCCAGCCAGCAAACCCTTCCACTACCCCCACCCATACAATATGTTCCGTGACTATTGAGAAAATAAAAATATTGAAACGAGGGGGGAGGGGTGAACTACACATACCAATCATTACATTCGTTTGAGGCATGCTGCAAATGACTTGGGACTATAAAGTACAAGACTTTGATCTGCATTAATGGTTCAGTATCAACAATAATAATGGGAATTTGGAATGAAAAACATGAAGGAAAAATGAGATATGCATTAATGGTTCAATATCAACATTGATAATGGGAAATGGGAATGAAAAACATGAATTGAAAAGGAGTTTTAAATAGGATATTGATTAATGATAACAAAACAACACCAATCTGTAGCGGATGACAAGGGAGTAAGAACAGTATCAAAATTATCATATGTTCGATCTTTTGAAGCTCAATTTGCCTGTCCTCATTGATAACATGATAAGTATAATAAATGGGTGTTATATGATATTGTGTGGCTATGATATGTCCCTTTATCAAGCTTTGCTAGCATGCCTCAAACGAATGATTTGCACATATTGACATATACACTTGAGTCCTCTGTTGTCCATCATTTAAATTATGGAAGATAAAGTTAAACCCAGTTGTAATTGACCAGAACAAGTAGAGTGATTTTACTTAAAGTCTAGTTCCCTGTTTTGACTACAAACAGTGTCACCAGTTTTTATATTCAGTCTGAGAAATTTAACATCCAGAGACGTCAGTTTAATTCCTTATTCTTGAAACAGGCTATATTACACATTATTTTACATGCAAATGGCATTCAGTGATGTGATGTGAAAATGCTACTTGATAATTGCACGTCTAGTGACTATACCAATGATGGCATATCACAAGCCTTAGAAAATTAAATATCCACTCCTCACCAATGTCTATTAACTTTACCCTGTTGCCCTTAAAACAAAATTGGATTAAACAACGTTTTAAGTAAAATCACTCTACTGTCTCACTGGAATGATATGAATGTGAATGAGAACTATAGGATGCTTTGGTGAACTATTTACTGGAATGATTGTCATCTATTTTCCAACTATAACAAAAACCCTTTAGTGGGATTTAATTAATATTTTGTTGTCTTCATATCCTTGAACTCTCTATAAATAATGACTTGAAATCAAAATAAACAAATTCTGGTCAATTACAACTGGGTTTAACACATATAGGGGGGAGGGGATAAGCCGCATGTTGGGGGGAGGGGATAAGCAGTATATAGGGGGGAGGGGATGAACAGTATGTTGGGGGGAGGGGGTGAAGCCTAATACTGGGGGGAGGGGGTACTCGTGTAGGGGGGAGGGAATTACTCTTAGGGTAGGGGAGGGAGAATCTACTTAGTAGGGTGGTAGGGGTTTATGACTTTTGCTGACTTTATATACTTTGAAATTTTCTAGAAGTCGGACAGACACAAAGTGGGCACTTAGGATATTTTTGGTAAGTTGCCAAAAAAAAGACTTAGAAATTTTTTCACCTTGTAAGTTGTTTGATGTTGTGTTTGAAATAAAGTTTGATTTTGGACTTAGTGGTTTTCCTATGTTTTTTAATGTATTCCATCTTTACCCTCTCCACGCCCTTTTTGGACTCGTAAAAAAATACCTCCCCGAGGTCCCACCAGCACCAAGTCTAACTACCCCGTTAGACCAGGACCAGGCAGTACTTACTGTCCCGACAAGAGCCATCTTATGAAACCACAACCAGTTGGCTGCTCTGATGGTGAAGACTGTCGATAGGGATATCAGACTTCTGACCCCCTACAGACTCGTGAGAGTACCTTGATGGCAAGCCAGCCGTTATACTGCGAAGATTAGTGCAAGAAGGAGACTTATAAAATAACCATACCCCCACTACTCATAGGTTTTACTGTACAACAGTGACGTATATCTTACAGTGATGCAATCAATAAACTCAAGGCAGTATTCAGACTTCCATAAAGTGTATGTGAYTATCAAGACTGGTTTGTGAAGACTAAAATAACGAAGTTTCTAGGCTACTAACTTGTGAATAATGAGCTGGTCTATACCGAAAAGGAAACTACCACCATGTAATTTAATATGAAAAGCTAAGACGAAGTCCTAAGGTGTTAATGCATTAATGAATTCATCACATGGGAATGGACTAAGTCTATAATTAATTCATTGAATAGATAATTAATTCAGTAACTGCTGTGGGACTGGGCCTATAATTAATTCAGTATCACCTAGGTTACCAGATGGATAATTAATTCAGTAACTGCTGTGGGACTGGGCCTATAATTAATTCGGTAACTTGTTGGTTACCAGACTGATAATTAATTTAGTATCTCCTAGGTTACCAGATGTATGTTTAATTCAAGATCTCCTAGGTTACCAGACCTATGTTTACTTGAGTATCTCCGAGATTACCAGACCTATGTTTAATTCCATTACATTGAAAGTGCTAAGAGTACTTGCTTTTATAAGTATTTTGCAGCCTACAGTCATGTGTTGATTACTCAACCACCAAAATACACAAAATACTAAAGATCCATCACATAAGGTAAGGCCAATACAGCATTTTAGAAAAGGCTTTTGATCACCAATGGAATGCTTTCTTGACAAACAATATCAAATATTTTTCCGCATGACTGTTGGTTGTAAAATCCCTAGTTTTTATGTGTTAGATACTTAGGATTTAGTTAGGATCAAGTGCTTGCTAAGAGGTTTATAAACATTTTAACAGTAGATTTCATATTGGTATAAATACTGTATGAAAAAGATACTGCAATGAAATAAATGGAAACCATTTCAATGTCAGGACATGTCACACCGTCTAACATGTCAAGAATCATATTTGAAATCTACTCTGTCAATTTTACACTAAGGGAAACTGAGTTGTTGATCTCTAGATATTCAATGGTTACATTCTCATCAGAACTTAATTTGTTTATATATATTATTTTAATAGCTAAAGAAATCTAAAGAATCTATCATGTTTATTCCTTGTTTGTCATGGTCGATACGACCTCTGCATGTTTGTCTTATTTTTATCTTGTGTTTATTTCCTAAGATCAGTTTTTTCACCAGCAAAACAACTTCTTGACAGAAGTAAAGGAGTCGAACATAAGGAGTAAATTAAAGATGAAATATTTGCACTGTCGATATTTGCATTTCCAAATTATGAACAACTACATGTATCACCATTAACACATCAAATTTCAGAACAAGTTTTTAGTTTTCTGTCAAGAATGTTTGAATCATTGTACAAATTTTTGTTTAATTTTGGACAGCTTGTGCATATAATACAAGTGCTTTGGACATCATAATCCATAGTAAAACAACTCTTGGTTTTACTTGTAATAAATATTTTYATTTCATTCAAGTGTAATTGTTTCTTGATTGTGAGGTATGGTGTTTCAATGCCATTCTTTGATGGCTCACCTTGTCCTCTATTCATTCATTTTCCATTTGCCTTGTTTGGCTTGGATTTATTTGTCTGCACTTTTGTGCAATATTTCAGGATTTTGCACAGCTGATTTTTGGTGTTTCCCATTATGTCTTGGGGAAATAATTTATGGTAAGAAATCAAACATACTGAAATTCAGGCAGACTTTGTGTTAAAAACAATTTGGAATTTGAAGAAAAATTCAGTTTGATTTAACATAATGATACATGTTTTGTAGTTGCTTTGGATAATTTTAAATGGAGTTTTGA